TTATACACAAGTATTCGAGTATTTGTGAAATTATATAAAAACAGGGTATAACGTAGGTAGACGTGTATTCAGGCTGAAGGACTGGTCGTGTAGTCAAGATGGCGACAGACTTGAAAACGGAAGACGGAATGAAAGTCTATTAAAAAAAATGCGAGACAGAGAACAACAAAAAACAAGCGTAGTCGCATCATAAAAACTAAAATTCGAGTATTTTGTCGAAAACGGGGTACAGCCTTAGACATGAATTCTGTTCGGTTGAAAGAGTGTGAGCTACAGTCAAGATGGTGACAGACGGGAGAACATACGGATTCAAAGTCTGTTTGAAAAAAAATGCGTGGCAGAGAACAATAAAAAACGAGCATAGTCGGTAAACAATAACATAATAAATATGATGAAAACAAAATATTTTGTCGAAAACGTGGTACAAACTGAATATAGCATGTACGGAAACATTACTGCCGTCTAAAACTAACTTATAATTTTATTCAATTAGACAGGAACATATATAGTGACTTTGGTGTTACCATGGAGGTAATAATCTTATTACCTCCATGGTGTTACTATACTGCTATACTGTCTATGGTTAAACAGGGCCCAAATTGATAGGGAGTAAAACACGGAAGTGGAAGAGCTGTCCATGCATTGACCAATCACACAAGAGCTCACAAACACCAAAGAAATATTTGTTGTTGTACTTAACAAAGGGATTTGGCACTAAAAACAATGGAACGTTTATAGGCTTAACGTTGGATTTAGATCGTGTTATAATCCAAATCCCCTACTAAGACTTGTAAGCACAAATTTTCATATGTAGCCATTTCTTACCTTGAAATAAAAAAAAATAAAAATTTGAAGATCATCGGGGAAAATATTAATAATCATTCTTATCAATCGCTTGCTATATTTTATTCGACTCCATGAAATTCACGAGTTTTTTGACATTTGTTGGCAACTTTCGCGCTAAAAAAGATTGAAAATGTAGGTGTGGTTCTTTTACGAGGTCCTGTTGATAATACGGACAAATATGGTTCTGTGACCCAGGTCGTGCTCTGATCATGTGACTTTCAGCCAATCAATGATGTTATAACATATTTGACGCTAATTGAAGGGTCGCCGTACCATCCAATCTCCGGCTTCAAAATTATTCGCTGAAAAAACATCGGTATATTTTGATCAGTGGGCGAGCGGTCGCTGTTTTCAATGAGCGAGCGAAAAAAAACGCGATTAAAATGCGGTCAGTTTCCGGTCGGACAAGACCACGTGGTCAGAAATTAAGTGATAAGCGGTCGATGTAAATGCGGAAGGTTGGGCGAAATGAGTACTGTATGACCATGTTTCTCCGACGAAGTCTCGACTGACAATAATGCTGACAATGGACGTTAGATAAACACGCATTGTTTGCGACAAGAAGCTTATCACCCGTTATATCAGAATCATCAACAACAGAGTATACAGTTAAGATGTTATCATTTAAACCCTTCCAAAGATAAACATTATGCAAATATCCACGAAACGACAGTTGTAGTCTTTTCTGCTAACGTTTTAAAACACTAAATTGAGCAACGTTATTTCCCAATTTTGATCTTTTGTAAACCTGGGATGATGTATCAAGGTCTAAAGTAACCGTTTTATCAATTTTTGAAAAATTAAGAAAAAAGTGAAAATTTCCCTTCTCGCTACCTTAAATATGCCTGGCTCGTGGTTGAAAATTGATATCCCGGTATGAGGCTGACTTATGCTGGCTGCCATTGTGACCTGGGTTTCACAAAGTTTCTTGAAAATCACTTATTGTAAAATACTTTCTTTTTGCTTGGAATTAATTTTCGCTATTTTCGCTGAAGGAATGATTCAGTGAAAATAAAATCTAGCGAATATACTTTTTAGCTCCACTGTCGACTTTGTCGAGCGGAGCTTATCATATGAGTGATTGTCCGGCGTCGTCGTCCATGTCAATGTTTTACTTTTTCGACTTCTTCTTGAAAACTACAAGCCTGAATTCTTTGATACTTGGTGTATATGTACCTTGGGTAGACCTCTCTTAGGTTTGTTCATTTCATGTTGATATCTTCAATTCTCTAATTTTGGTGAATATTTTCGTCATTTTTGGTAAAAAGTGATATTTTCGACTTCTTGTTAAAAACCGCAAGTGCAATTGCTTTGATATTACATATATAGGTACTACATGTGGACCTCTCTCAGATTGTTCATTTTGTAATGATATCTTTAATTCTCTAATTTTGGTGAACATTTTTGTCATTTTTGGTAAAAAGTGATATTTACGACTTCTTGTTAAAAACCAATAGTTCAATTGCTTTGATATTAGATATATAGATACTACATGTAGACCT